ATTCATAGTTCCTATTTGATGGCAAGTCCTACACTCCTCAACTCTACATAAATCATTATCATACTTTATTGTCTGGGGAATAATAGCAAGAAAAAGGTCTGTCCGTGCTCAGTTCAGACACACTTTCCCCCCATGGTTGGATGAATTCAAAGTTGCAGAATCCACAGATATGAAAGCTGCACCTGTGAAAAGCCATCCCTACTGTGTGCTGATTGCCAATTTAGTATGCTTAAAAAGTTCCTCATCAACCTTTCCAAAATGGGCTTTAGAAGACATTTGTGACCATTCTTAGATTAGTTCATTAGAGACCACAAAATGGTTTTGATATTCTTGTTCCTTGTTAAGCAGAATTGCTGGTAAAAAAGAAAGTGTCTGTAGGTATTTTGTTTCTCTCAAGCTTTGTGCTCATAGGAGCAGTATAAACACCATTTGTCTGTTTCAGAACCATGAGTGTCTTAGCATCCTGCAAAATATGTCTATGATTTTTAAAGTCATAGATTTTAGCATGAGTTTCAATTTATTGCAATTATTTGAATACACATTTTCCATCTTAGGCAAGAAAGCAGCTCTTCAAATTGGCCTCCAAGTCCTTTTGAAATGAACCATTATTCTTTAAAAGATTCCTTTCTTTCAGGTCCAACAAGAGATTTCCAGCTATCCTCTACCATTTCTTTGCATGTCTCCAAGGAGCCCTTATTCCTTAATAGGAAACGGCATTTAGAAACTATAATCTTGGTTCTAGCTACACGTCATAGACAAGAACTAGAAAATGGGCTTTTTCAAAGACAATGCATCATGATTTCATTATACTTCCCAAGAAAATTGTACACCTGATTACAACGTATAGACTAGCTAGCATCTTTTTAACAGGAGGTTTTCTTGATTCCTGATAGTAACACAAACTGTATTTTCTCTTACCTGAGATATATATAATAGTTTCAGAATACTATTACCAATATGAATATTTCTTCTTTATTTTTACCTTGAGGCAGCCCCACTAAGAATGCATAGACAAGTGCTTATATTTATAATTCTTGAAATAATTTCTATTTCTAAGAGGCTAACATAGTTAGCTTCATTTGTTTTACTTTTGCTGTGGTTCTATAACTTTTTTTTCTTAATTTAGTATGTGTGTAGACAAAACATTAACATAGTTCCAGTTCCAAAGCTTTGTAGAGAGCAAGCAGTCCAGCATTGCCTTTCCCCGTAAGAAACCATTGCTGGTTTTCTGTTAATTCATCATGTTTTGTTCTGTGGTGCAGCAATTGAGCCCAGGGCCTCAATCACATTCAGCGAATACTCAGCCAATTCTATTTTTCAAATATAGAGAAAAATGCATACATAACAGCATTCTCTTGATTTTAAAAGATAGCATACTGTGCATTGCTCTGTACTGGTTTTGTGTTTTGTTTTTGTTTTAACATCTGCAAATCACTTCACGAAACCACCCGCATGTAGCAGTGGACTACAGAGCTGATGCTGTGCTTTATGCACCACTCCGGAAAAGCAGCCATTTCCAGTCTTCAACTAATACAGTGAGCCTGTCTTGGCATGCTTTTTGCCATTGTAGCCTATTTTCTGTTAGCATTTGCTATGCCCAGCATACTATTTCAAAATGAAGTGATGCAAAACAGCTGCTATGAGAATCTTAAGGTTCTCTGGATTAGCCACTCTGCCTGGATCAGCCATGTCCTTCTGTTGTCCTCACCCCTGGGACTCAAGGAGATTGGCAACTCAACTGCATCTGGGTAATCCATGCACTCATTATGTCTGGAAACTCACGAGCTGGCAGATTGGCACTGAACTTTCTCCAATGGCTTCTTACTCACTGGTAAGCAGACTAGTACTCATTCATGTTGGAAACCTCAGGGCTCCAAGAATAAAGCAAGCACAGTGTACAAGTACTTTTCAATCTTTGGTGGGTGTCAAGTTTGTCCTTTTGGTCAAGGCTGGTCACCTGAGTAAGCAGAAGTCAATGCAGAAGATGAAGAGGGAAAGGTTGGCTATCAGCTGATTGCAAACCACATACTACAGAGGACCCAGCCCCAAGGCAGTACTGTTGACATAGGGCAAATTCAAGTGTAAACTGGGAAAGAGCTTGCTTCTTCAGTCACCAAAAAAGTATGTTGTCAAACTTTCGTAGCTTTTTCTACCTAAACATGAGTAGTAGTAGTTCAGCAGTATTTTAAAACTCAATGTTCATGTGAATGCAGTTGGAAACCTTTGTATATGCCTTCTATACACCTTTTTAAAGTTTTTATTAATTACACTTTATTCGCTTTGTATCCCCCCTGTAGCTCCCTCCCTCCTCCCCTCCCAATCCCTCCCTTCCTCCCCATTCTCCACACATGCCCCTCCCCAAGTCCACTAAGAGGGGAGGTCTTCTTTTCCTTCCTTCAGATCCTAGCCTATTAGGTCTCAAAAGGAGTGGCTGCATTGTCTTCTGTGGTCTGTTAAGGCTGCTCCCCCATTAGGGTGAGGTGATCAAAGAGTAGGCCAAATCAATTCATGTCAGAGGCAGTCCCTGTTCCCATTACTATGGAACCCACTTGGACATTGAACTGCCATGGGCTACATCTGTGCAGGGGTTCTAGGTTATCTCCATGCATGGTACTTGGTTGAAGTATGAGTCTCAGAAAAGACCCCTGTGCTCAGATTTTTTTGGTTCTGTTGCTCTCTTTGTGGAGCTCCTGTCCTCCCCAGATCTTATTTCCCACTTCTTTCATAAGATTCCATGCACTCTGCCCAACAGTTGGCCATAAGTCTCAGCATCTGCTTTGATAGTCTACAGGGCAGAGCCTTTCAGAGGCCCTCTGTGGCAGGCTCTTAACTTGTTCTGTTTTCTCCTTCTGATGTCCATCCTCTTTGCCTTTCTGGATGGGGATTGAGCATTTTAGCCAGAGTCCTCCTTCTTGATTAGTTTCTTTAGGTGTACAGATTTTAGTAGGTTTATCCTATATGACTATATGAATGAGTATATACTGTGGCATCTTTCTCCTCTATACACTTTTTGTGTGTCAGGAACATTAGCACCTTTTCAATATAAAGAAAACATGCTTCCTGGTTTATCATTTGGTTTTAGTTTTTATTACATAAATGTAGTCAAATTTATCAATCTTTGTTTAATGCTTACTTACAGATTTTGAGCCATTGCTTCTTCAAAGACTGAGGCTTTGTTTTAAAGTTTTATGAGGATTGCGGGGATGGTGCTATACTAATACTCAAAGTCCACATTTTTCTTCTGGTGTAATGTGCCAGTTGGCTGTAGATCTGATTATATTATTCAGGTCTATATTCGTTGACATTTAAATTACTAATCCCAATTAAAATGTTAAGTGTGTGCTCTGCTCTCCGTTTTTCCCTCTGCCTATAGATTTTTTATAACTAGCCACAATCCTGTATCTTCTGAAGTAAGTCCTATCCAGTATGCCAGCAAGAGCCTCAATGCATCACTCAGCATTTACAAGGACAGGGATTTGTATGTGGAGTTTTGTCACTTCCTCCTTGTATGATCTTAGGCAAATTAGTCTCTCCTTCTAATGAAGATAAAACCTCCATCACAGGGCCACTGTATAAAGTAGCATAATGTAGGGCTAGCATAGGACGTGGCATAGCATCAGTGCCATAAAGCAGTCTATTCAGGAGAATCCTTAATACTCAAGTGGTGAGTGTATGCAAATGGAAAACGTGGTCGAAGCAGAAACAGTTCTACTGGAAGTGACACTGTTGTACGTTGCAAGCACACTCACACGTCTTTGCTGAGCAAGCCATGTGCACATTCCAGGCATGCCAACTGAATTCAACCTATCAGTGAGTACAATGAAAACTCAAACCAGCAGAGGGCATTTGACGTTGGCTTATACAGAACACTCACACCACACACACACACACCAAACCCATTTCAAGAGCTAAGCACCTGTCCTGAAAACACTGAAGTTTCCAGGTAGTACTCTGCTCTCAGCTCTCCTTCCCAGACAGTCTTGGTGCCCTGTCTTACCATAGGCTCTCAGCTGAGAGTTCCAGAAGGTAAGAGAAGAGAGTGGTGTGACCGCCTGCAAACCACCCCTCCACCAGCCCTGGCACTGCAGATCCTCTAGTTTAAGTCTTTAGTTCTGCACTGTTTGCCCCAAGGACCTGGGCTGCCAGGAAGAAACCTAAAACTATAAATCCCTTTAAACTGAAATAAACTTAACATTGATTGATGGCTAGTAAGGAACATTGGTTTCATATGGCTTTGAGAAGCATAACTGAAATTTCTAGAGGGGTGACAATGTTCTGAATTTTGATGGTGTTTCATGAGCGTGGTGAGGCATTTGTCAAAAAGCATGAAGGGCATCTAAAATAGGTCATTTCACTGCATATAAAATTTACCCTAAATTTTGAAAATTCTAATGAACAGCCATGTTGGAATATTCAAGAAAAATTTGTTTGAAATGGATTGAGATGGATTGACTGTAATGCATAGATGGAAAGTTAGATGCTAATTCAAAGTGTAGGTGAATACAGGTGTGTATAAAACTTAACATTTTTCATAAAATGCTAAACACATTATTCAATGTCTTGGTCATCATAAACAAATTGCTCTATACCTGCAAATGTACAGCACTCATGGCAACTAAACAGGAATTCCCTCAGTGGGCCTGCTGCTTCCCCCTGGGCCCATGACCTTGTCCTCTAGCCAAAACATTTGCCCACAAGAGGTCCCTCTTCCACTACTTTCATAAGCAGGTCGAGGACCCTCTTGGGCAAAGAAGGAAGCATAGTACATGTCTGAGTGGTTGGTCAGCTCTTTGTAATGAAAGGCAAATCCTATGTGCTGTCACAGCAGATGAGCAACACACGCTTTCCTATACCGAAGAAATGTGCAAAACCTTTGTATTTGGAGCTGGGCACAGTGTTTCATGCCGTGGCAGGCAGGCTGGGAGCTCAAGAGATTAAGGCCAGACTGAATTACATGAGAACCACCAATTTTTGTTTTAATTCATATAAATTTCTCAATGTTCAATTAATTTTTTTCTGAATTCTCTCCAAGTGGTATAGAGAAATGATAGTTATTTGTCTTACTTCCAGTATCATAAAGGGCTTATATTTGTTAGGCCTTGACTATGAACATGCTTTGTAAACACTGGCTCACCCCATTATCCGGTTAGGTTCTTGGTCAGGTAGTTGGTAAATAGCAGATACAGGACTGAAACAAGATCTCTTCAGCTCAAAACTGTGTTTTCACTTTACATTTGAATTCTGATAGGCAAAGTTCATGTAACTACAAAAATAGCACCAGTCACTTGGCATAAAATACCACTCGATAATGGAATAGTTCCTAGACTCTACACTTTCACACACACACACACACACACACACACACACACACAAAACAGTGACAGTTTCGATTAATACTGACAAACATGAGTCTAAAATTTGACAGTACAGGCTGGAGAAAGAAGGTTCAATGGTTAAGAACACTTGTTCCTCTTACAAAAACAAAAACAAACAAACAAACAAAAAACAAAAAACTGGGTTCAATTCCCAGCACCCAAATGGCAGCTCATAACCATCTCTAACTTAAGTTCTAGGGATCTGATGCCCTCTTCCATCCTCCACAGGCACCAGGCACACATGCAGTCCACATCTAAACATGCAGGTAAAATTTTTAAAAATCTTGACAGGCAATCTTTGCAATCTTGTTCCTTCTGTATCTTTTGGGGCAGTTCAGTGTTTGATCTGCTTAAAAGGACATTTTCCTCCCATCACTTCTTAATGTCATTTATTTTCGGTATAAATCAGCAATCATCATCTATGGGATAATGGACTATCTTAACATAAACCAGATTCATCCACAAAAACTACCTACCAGTAGATGGCTCTAGTGCTGACAATTTTTGGGCTAAGAATTTCAAACTCCTGTGGAAACTGTGCTTAAAATGGGACTGAGATCTGATAGTGATGTGTGCCCTAGGAACCCCCAGTGATGTCAATGCCTCCAACCCTACCTTATAACCCGTCATTTTTTTCATGTAGAGCTGAAAAAAGTATGAAAAGACACATACAAAAATATGTATTTCCTGAGCTAAGCCCTCAAAATGTACTTTGTGAACCTAATGGCCAGGGTGAAAAAGATGATTTTAACTGGATGCACAGGTCAGTTCAGCCATGAAATTCCTCTGTAGAGATCTGATCTTACGTAGAGCAGTTCTACATAATGTGGCAAGCCTGGGCCACATTAAGACCTCCTCTCAGAGATCTGATCTCAGCTTTGCTGTATTTTGGTTGATTCTATTTGAACCTAATTCAAAAATCCCAGCATTCCTATGTAGAGGGCCTAATTATCTCTATTTAGAAACACTTGCCTCAGCCAGTAATTCTGTGATTTGAAGAAACATTGTTCTAAATACATTTTTCCCTGTTCAATACAACTTAGTATGTTCTAGATTTACAGAAAAGGAACTGAGAAGGCACACATAATTCCAAAATAGTTTTCTGATTGTGAAAAGGAGTTAGCAAAGACAGTAGACCCTAAGTTCCCTTGCAGATCAGAGGGGGCAACCCACACTTCTGAAAAGCTCATGTGTGTGACTTATAACCAGTTTTACTAACATGTAATTCAAGGTAACTGTAGTTTGTGAACAAGAAAGCAGGCCTAGCTTGGATCCTGATGTGAATTAACTTTAAAAGAATAACTGCCACCTAGCTCTGGACAGTTAGGGTAAACCAGAAAATATTGGGTTGTATACTTTCACTCTTCAAAGCTTGGGCACCTACTGGTTGAAATGGTACTACACTGAACACCTGAGAAAGGTAAAAGCTATTCTTGGTAGTATTTTGAGACCTAATGTCAGTGTGGGGGAAAAATGCTTCCTAGTAACTTAAGGGACTTCATTTTGAGTCTCATTTGTGCTTCCAGAAATATCAAGACTTTGTTCATTCAGAAACCTGGTATAATTTGACTATATCCTTCAAACTAGCATATTCCAAATAAAGCAAACCTTGGGCTATCTAGAGACTTAAATATACCTAGAAAACAATTATCTAGCTTCTGCCTTGGGGTGTTATACATCAGTGATAGTGTTATTTTCAAAGGTCACAATTAGGTGTCAGCAGCACGCCTGATTAAAACTACTTTGTGAAATATTGGGCAGTTTAGTTACTCCCACTTGTAATGAACGGCTAGCGCCTCAGCACACAAGGATCTCATGATGATCCCTAACTTCCTCACACCACTGTGCTAGAAAATGACTGAAACCACATGATCCTTGCCTACTAAACAATCATCAGACTTTCATCAGGTGAGAGATGTAAAAATCAGTGAGATAAGGGATCTCAGTGGGGTTAGAACATGTCACATGCCTGTTTGGGAAACTGTTCTTGTTGCTTCCAGTGTTTTTCAGTCACCATTAGAACGTCACGAGTCACACATACAACCTAAAATGGCTTCAAGCAGTCACTATGCTAATGATACCCAAGAAGGGAAGCCATTTCAGCAACTCCACTGACATGTCTGATCACTCTGTAAATGGAAATTATCAACTGTGGTGCTTCTTCACATCATTGGGCTAGAACACTCAGTATATAATCTGCTTTTTTAAAAAAAAAAAAAGTTAAAAGGGCTAGTTAACCTTCAAACTATGCTTTAAAAATTAATCACTCTTCAAATTTTAACAAAAATTTCCTAAGACTATGGACAAAAAGTAAAATAGGGAGTTGGTACAGCACAGAAAAACCTGGTGTTTACATGCTGCTTCTATGGGGTGGACTTCACCTTTCATTTTCTATTGTGTGGCAAATCCCCACAACTTGGCCAGACAAAAGCTGGTCTGATCATATGTGTTTGCTCCACTCCAGGACCGTGCCTAGAAACAGTAATGGGGACCCAATCTTAGCACTGCATTTCTACACTACATGGTTTGTTTCATTGGGTCTTGTTGATATTTGTCAACGTTGATAGCTGAAGGCACCAGAAAGGAGGGTTGACACTTCCAAAACTTCTTGATGAGTGGTATCCATGCAGACTGGAAAGACAATTATTCGTTACTGTTTGGATTTCACTGTGCTTTGGTTTTGGAAGTTTCCCTTAAGAAAAAAGAAACTTGTTAATAAGTCAAAGTACAGTACAGGTTAAATTACTGAGACAATTATCAGTCGTAAGTAAAATCTTAAAGTTATTTTATATCCAACACCAGTATCTCAAAGCAGGATACTTCCACACTGAGCTCAGCATTTCCTCTATTAACATTCTGATCAGACCACAAGATTTGACTGATCATTTACCAGAAGTTACTGTCATTACCTACGTCAAAGTCCTAATCAACAAAGAAGTACCACTGCTTGTTTTCTGAATAGGAACTTGCCCACCATCACAGGTGAGAAGAAAACTGAAGGTCCACCAATCCACACCTCACCATACTTAAATCTGTCGAAGTTCCAATCCTTTCTTTAGAATCACCTTTAACATCATATCCTCCCACAAATAAAAGCACTGTTGCTCCTACCTCTTAGATTTTCAACATTAGTTTGTAATTTATTTTATTCAAAACATCTCTAATCATAAAACACAAGCTATCTTAACCCTTAAGTAACTTTTTTAAACACTCAGAAATGTAAACAAAGAAAATTGTAAATAATCACAAAGCCAAATTAGCTATAATTATTAATGTATGAACAAATGACAAATTACCTATAAGAGCAAAACCCTGTACCTATACACCATAAGTAAATTCCTTAGGATGCAAAATGCTTTCATAATCTCTGCCCAGAGCCTAATACAGTGCATATTGAAAATCAGTTAAACTGAATTAGAACAACAAAATCTGGCACAAATTATATTTAAATGCTACAGAATTTGAAAGGAAACTTACTTATTTTTACAATCTGAGGTGAGGAGAAATGACAGGTACAGAGGTATGGAGCAGCCAGGCTGAAGCTGGTTACAACTTCAATAAAATGGACTGGGCTCTCCATGTTTACTGAAAGATTAAGATGTGTCATTACAGCAAGTTTTATTCAGGAGAGAATGTTTAAGGAGAAACAAATAGGAACAATGAAAAATTACCAATTACACACTGCACAGAGAAAGGAAGTTCCATTATACACAAATCACACCCTAGCATTAACAGAGGTATAATCACTTCTTGAGCCACTTAACTTTGCTAATAAGGCTATGTGAATTGTGTTCAGAAACTTTAAAACACACACACCCATTGAAGAAAGGGAGTACTAGCATTTTTACTTCTGACTACTTGTATCAGGCAGTCATATGGCTATTAGAATTCAATCTGAATTGCATCTGCTACAATATTCATCTGCCATGAGTATTTTTAAAAGTAATCAGATCAGCCTGGTGTGGTGGTGAACAACTTTAATCCCAGCACTGGGGAAAGATGCAGGCAGCTCTATTATTCAAAGACCCACCTGGTCTACGTGACAAGATCCAACCCAGGCAGGGGTACACAGTAAGACCCCGTCTCAAAAGTACTACAACTAATACTAATGACTACTGTTCAATCAGGGGTTACAACTCCCCACAATCCCTCCACTTACACTTCAATATTTAACATGGTAGTTTCAAAAGTAAAACATTCAAGGACTTATAAATTTGCCTTGAATGTACTCTTCAATGTTTGCAACAAAAAAGTACTTGCTGTATTACATATTTTATTCCATAATTCTGATAAAGAATCTGGTTATCTGGTTATTAAACAAGAATTTAGGATGATTCTGTCCTTGGTAAACCAAATAGCAGGCAGTCACTCTAGGAAGTCAAGTCATTGCTGGATCACACACACTCAAAAATGCTGTCAGCACTGACCAGGTTTCTGGCGTGGGGTGGTTATTGCTTCAGTTGGCAATATCCAAATTTAAGACAACAGACATTTTCCATTAAACATTATGACAAACATTACAAAGTTTATGCAGAAGACACACTCACAGAGGCTATATATAAAGTTGGTGTCTTAAGTCTCACCCCTGAAACAGGGACAGGTTTTCAAGTGATACCCAGTAAGTTCTTACTCTAAAAATAAATGTTCCTGCTTTCAGAGTTCCTATTCTTCCATAGGATGTAACTGAGCAGCTTAACAGTTTTTCAGTAAAAACCATCCTCTCTTTATAACAAACCAAAAATGTAAAAGGAAACCCGTAGGAGACAAACTTTTCACAGTTAACAATAAATAAAAGTGCACTAAGTGTTCAAGTAGGGCACATAGTTTAAAAACTACATGTGTCTCTTTGGCTTAGGTCATCTTTTAAAGGCTCTCCTCGGATCCCTGGCATTACTTATTGTGGTCATGACTGTTTGACTACAAGGTGCTCCTGGTAGCTGTGGACTGACAGGCGCCCGGCCATTGCTTCTACCAGCATATGGAAGATGATATCCCCTTGATTCAGGCCCAGTCTGAATACCATTCCCTAAGATAAGAACACAAAAGTTATCATTTTCAGAAATGATCTATATTATGCAAAAGAAACACAATTTAAAGCTTTTACATACACATTGTGAATGTTTATAAATATCACAGAAAACACAGAGCAGTGCTCTGAGGCTCTGCAAGTGTAATAACAAATACATTACTTGATACTGGATGAATAGAAAGAGGAAAAAGCACCCTGAGCAATAGGATTAAGAATAGAATATAACAACAAACAAACTAAACATTAATTGCTTATACTGTAAGAAAAAGAGCAGAGAAATGTTTGAGTACTAGTGCTTAACTAAAATATAATTAATGTTTCAATATAATCAAACTTACTGGCAGACAAGTTTTCCACAATGTGAACTAACCTAATCAACTCCAATCACAGAAAGATGCATCTCAAAAGACATATCAAAGGTTACATAAAGACAAAAGACCTTTTAGGGCTCTAAGATCGTTGGTGAGAGATCTGAGGAAGACAAACTGCTCTTATAAAAAGGCAGCTAAGAGCATGTGGAATGTTAAAGTATTCAATGACTGCTACTCTACAGCACCATTTGTCTGGATACATTTCCAGTGTGCCAAAGCAACCACTAATTCTGCGTAAATTATAAATAGCTACTGCATCATAGACATTTGTAAAAATAGAAAAATAAAAGATCTCGTCAGAGAGTCATCAAAACTAGTCTTCTTACTAATCAATGTTCCACTTAATGGGCCCAGTGCTTAAATAAGAATGTGCTCAATACATTGGCATGGACAAGTATCTTCTACCTCCTACAAAATCATTTATTTGGGTGTCCACATTTATTGGGAGTTCCCCTTTAACATTAAATTATGCCTAAAGAGATTTTTTCTTTACATTTTTTCATAATTTCCGTAATGCCTACATGTCATCACAAATATGAAAAAGTCTTACCCACTGGCCCAAAAGTATTGGTGCTTATTTTATCCTTCTGCTCATTTTGTACCTAAAAGACAAACATAACACATTTATAAAATAAAAAAATTATTTTCAACAGTATTTAAAGGTTTGTCCAAATCCTTCAAATACAATGTTAAAGCAGTCAGAGAAATCTTTATGGCCTGACAGTTTCTTCACTCTGCAAAGTACTAAACAGCACATATATCTATAATCTCAGAAATTATATATAGACTCTAAGAACCTATGTAATAAATGTATTGTTTTTAAGATAGGGCCTCATATAGCACAAACTCGCTATATAGCAAAGGATTACTTTGATCTTCTTATCCTCCTGCTTCCAACCTCCTGTGAAATAGGAATTCAGGCATGCACCACCATGCCTGTCTTATGTAGTAATTGGGGGCTGAACGCTAGGCAAGCAGTCTATCAGTTGAGCTATATCCCAGTCCTCAAGATCATTTTATAATCCTTTTCATTATACTCTGGACATCAGAGGCTTAGCCTACTGACAGAATTACAGTAGAAATTTAACCCAATCATAAAAATATGCCATATATTTGGATTAATTACCCCTTGGCTCAGCTGTCCTCTATAATCTGGGTTTGGCTCACTGAAATTTGGCACTTCTGAATACACCATACAAAATCTGAAAGAAAATAAAGGACATGATTTCTAAATTTTTTTAATAACCTCCTTAACTTACAAAAATGAAACCTTAGGTGTCAAACCTTAACAGTAGCATTTTAACTAATTTACTTGTAATAAAAATTTTCTACATAACTATATCCCATATAACACCAAAATACTTGATTCTCTTATCAAATCCCTCTTTTACCCAATCACTGTGAATTTGCAAAAATCATCATCAAAGGTAAAGAATAAATTCTTAATGATTAAGACAATGGGCTAGCAAAGCCATCACTTCACCTCAGGGCTTCTTGTAAGCTGCCAATACAACTTGGTACCCTGTTTCACATACAGGTACTTTCTTAGCTCTTCAACTCTAAGAACTAGATCCAGTTTGGGAAAATCTTAAATTGATCCTGACAAACAACAACCATGAGGGAGTAACTTCCTGTGGCTTTTCATCTAGCTGACCTCCACTGTTAAGAGAATCTCTGTACTTTTTCTTTTTCTTCTCATATTAACTATATTGTCCAAAGCACACTTCATCTTCAGTATGAGTTTCCCTCTTTTATTTGGTTCCATTTATGACTTTTTTAAAATATCTGCCAATCTCATGGGTACTAAGAGATACCTAAGCACCAGCAACCAAAATGGACTAACAATTTGGCTCATTATGTATAGCACACATTAGTGATGAAACCCAGACACCTCGGGCAGCATGGAGACTAAAGCAGCTTTACACTCCCACAAATTCCTACACATCAGGGCGGAACTCACACCCAGGTGGCAGGGGATTGACTCCGACTGTGGCTACTTCTTTTACTGTACCTAGACTAGGAAAAACAGAAGAATTCAACTCTCAATGTTCAAAGTCCCTTTAACTCTAATACAAATTCATCCATATGGAAACAATGAAAATTTAAAACTTAAAATTAAAACCCATATCTAATGTTTATTTTAGTAAATCCGGAGAGAATGTACTTCAAATGACACCTGAAAGGCATGTTTCTAAAGGGCCTGGTCTACACTCAGCTCTGGCAAAAAAAAAAAAAAAAAAAAGGCTTACCTTCTCAACCACAGGTAACAGTACTGACAGTGTTTAAACCAATTACCTACCTTCAGCATGAAGCCAAGTTTTCAAAGGCCAAGTAAGTGGTTTAGTTTATACTTACCAATTATTTGAAATTTAATTATACAAAATGCGTGTTAATACTTACTCCCCAATCTTTTGGAGTTCACCACCTCTTCCAGTATAAAGTGTCAGGCATCCTTTCCACATTGACGCATACCTAGAGGGAAAAATTAAGTAGATTTTCAGAAGAATGTAAATTCTACTTAACTTTTCAGTATATTTTTATACTGGGTAGAAATGAAAAACATGCCCATGCCAAGTCAAATACAGTGATTATAAATCTAAGAAGAAGATATACAAATAAAATTCTACTACCTAATTGTCTAAATTACAACAGTAGAATAAAAACTGATCACTGCTGGAGGCTGCGCCTGGGCCTCGAACATAGTAGGCCAGAACAATGCCACTAGCCTATGACTCCAGAACTTGTTTTAAACCTTATTTTTAGGCATCTCCCTAAATTGCCCAGGTTGGTCTTGAACTTGCTCTATAGCCAAGTAGACTTCAACCCTGCCATCTACCTGTCTCAGCCTCAGAAGGAGCTGGAATGCAAGGCATAGGCTGACATGCCTAGCTTGAGAAAACTTGACCAGACATAGTAACACATTTTGAATCCCAGCACTAAGGCTGAAACAGGAAGAATTCAAACTTGAGACCATCCTCAAGAATGGAGTGGATGGACATAGAGCCCTGTGAAGTACGCACTGTTGTTCCTGGATGAGTGATGACTGTTTGAGCAGTTCCCAAGAAGAACTGGTCTGATTGGTTAACTAAAGTTCTCCAAGTTATTTTTCAGAGAAAGTTATACTTCTTCAATGCATTGTTGGATTAGAATTAAAATTGCTTTAAAACAAAGACAATTTCAACAGAAGAAACATCTGTAAATTCTCTCCCTTGCAGTTCGAGGAAAAAACATGTTTTCTGCACTCTGAGGACCAGCATGGGTATTAACACCTATGTGTACCTTGTAAGGAGGCGAGGAGGAAAGGAGAAAGCAAAACCCAGCCAAGGAAACAGAGCTGGAAGTATGCTACAGAGAAGCTTCTAATGGTAAAAAATCAGTATTTGTATTGCCTTTCAGCCAAGAGTGTGTTGAAGTCAACACACTAGTATTTCTTTTATACTCACTGACATGGTCATGGAAGATATAACAGTTTATGTCTACTTAAGCAGACACAGTTTCCAAACTCCTCAAAATCTGGCACAACTTTATCAAGGAGCTGAAAACACAGACCACTAAATCTTCCTCTTGCCCTCCTGACCTTCCCAAACTCTGCAACTTTTAATCTCAATATAATGGAACTAAGAGTTTACTATCAACAATTTAAATGTGGATGACATTAATTCTAAGGAAAATATAAACTGGTCCCCTTAGTAGAACCAGACCAAAATCTGGTTTTTCAATTTCTTTGTACAACTACCAATGTAACTTCATGACTTAAAGCATATATTGTTGTTGTTGTTGTAGTCCTCACTACACCCTACAAAAGGAACGATTCTCTTTTGTGGAAGCTGAAGACATGGAAGTTTAAAAGATGTACTTTAGTGTCACAATGACTCAGCGTATGAGAATAAAATGTCTAAGTCCTGACTCTCATTTCCTGCTTTGATGATACTTTACCTCACTTCCTGAAAATGTTTGTAAAGCCTGTAAGATAGTATCAAAAGCTCCAGCCCCAAGAATCCAATACTTCTGAGATGCCTTTAGACCAACATAGATTGTCAACTTATTTTTCTGATAGTTAGCAATAAAATTACAACAGAAGCTTCCATATTCTACTTTCAAGATTCTTTCCTGGAATTTTCTTAAGACTAACATTTGGTAAAAATTTCAAGTCTATGAAAAAAAAAATGCTCATCTCCATAACCAAAAAGCTGTCAACTAAATGTTCTGATGTATCAAAGATGCCCTTCTGCCACTTTCTGTATATTATTCTGTTTTTTTTTTTGTGAAACACTGATCTTACAGAAGAAATTACTTTCAAGAATATGTATTCCAGATACAGTTTTCATCTTTTCTGAGTACAAATGTGATGGTAGGAAGCTGGGACTGTAATGTAAGCCAAATGGCAGAATGCTTGCCTTGCATGCAGCAGCCCTTTGGACATTTAGGTGCTGCCTGTAACCCTACCACCTGGGAAGCAGAGTTAGGAAGATCAGAAATACAAGGTCATTCTCCTGGGTATCTTAAAGTTCAAAAACAACCTGGAATACAGGAAACCTTGTTTCCAAAATGAAGGCAAAGAGCTAAATTCCCCAGCTACTCAATTTAGGTCCAAAGTACCTAAATGATGACTACAAATAAAATACTGACAGGATTTCAAGGTACTAAAAAGGAAAGGAGGTGGAAGACATTAAACCTAATACATGGACTGATTTAAAAGGTAATGTGGCCAGGTGGTGGTGGCCCATCCCTTTAATACCAGCACTGAGGAGGTAGAGGAAGGTGGACCTCTGTGAGTTTGAGGACAGACAGGGTTGCACAGAGAAAGCCTGTATCGAAAAACAAAACGGAAAAAACAAAATTTTAAAAAAAGGTAATGTGGTCTTATCAGCCTCCTAAAAAAAGCTCACTGGCACCCATACGGTATTTTAAAAATAAAATTAACCTTTAAAACTGGAGGGGAGGAGTGAATTCCCTACCTAAAACACTTAGCTGGGAAAGGTGAGCTGCTGCCAATGCTGCCCACCAAAACAGCTCACAACTTCTGGAAGACTCATGAAAGAGCCAGGCAACTTCTGAACTTGGTACCCCTGAAGTCGGTAAACCCCACACCTACCCCAATTTATGCACACCTACCCTCTGGTCAACCGAATAATATCCCCTGTCTGTATGAGCCCTCCGATCTCATCCCACACAGAAATGGTGATGCTTCCCGTTCGGTCAGCTACTTTGCAGGACCTCACTTCATGGCCGTCTTTGGTTTTGGTCACGCGTCCTGTGGAGGTTTAAAAATCAAAAGGGGGAGGAGGGTTGTTAGATAACGAGTCCATTGAGGACAGCTGTCTCATCCTCCTCCGGCACGCTACACGACTGCCTTCTGTCCGGGAGCAGGAGCCGAGTGTCGGCTCGGGCGGCCGGGAGCACGTGGGGGCGCGGGCGGGGAAGAGGTCCGAGCGCTCGAGGGTGTGGGACGGGCTGCGGACCCCACTTACCTATCTCCAGGACAATAAAGACGACATTTAAGTTTTTCAGTCCGGCCTTAATGTCTTTTATAAAAAGAGGAGGGTCGCTGACCCCATGCATACTGAGGCAGGTGCGGCTACGCTGCGCTAGGCAAGGCTTCCCACCCTCCGGGGCCGGGGCAGAGCCGGGGTGGGGGAGCACCCTGGGGCGGGGCTGGCGACCGGGTCAGGAAGCGGTTATTCAGGGGCCAGGGAAACCAGCCCTAGAGGCACCAAGCCAAAAGAGAGAAAGAAAAAACAATGGAGGGGGAAGGGAGGAAAAAAGGACTCTCCCAAGTTCCAAAATCAAAAAGAGGACTCACTCCGCACACCGAGCCCGCTCCCAAGTGGGCGGCGAGCAAGCAAGCGTGCGGACTGCCGCCTCGGCTCAGGGGAAAGGCAGCAGGGGATGGCCCTGCCCGAGTCCCGCTGTCCCTCACACAACACACGCACACGCGCGCGACCCCTCAGTCCCAGGCTCCGGGAAGGGACCGTCACAGCAAAACGGTAACGCAGCACACCGACCGCGCAGCCCGCGTCCCAAGCAGCAACTGGCGAACGCGCCCTCCAGCCGGCTCTACTAAGCCTGGCCCCGCCCCTTGTGGCGTCACGCGACGTCACCACGCCCATGAGCACGCGTCTGGCTGGCCGGAGCGCAGCCGCTCTGGCTCCGCCCCGGCTGTCAGCGCAAGCCCCGCCCCCTGGCCGTCCAATCGGCTCGCGGCCACACCCTGCTCTCGCCGGTCGCGCGCCGGCTTCCGGGTTTCGGCGGGGCTGGTCTTCTGCGGCTCCGAGCAGCTCCGGCTTCTTTTCCTAATTCCTCAGGAGCCCTCGGCGCGGCCGCCGTTGCCCTTTAGCCCCGCGATCACGTGGGACGCTGGCGCTCCGGACCCCGTGGGTAGAGGGAGTGTTCGGTGGAGAAGGAACTGGGCTCGGGGAGGGCTGGAGCCGGGTCAAGGAGAGAGGGAGAGGCCGAGGTGAAGGGGTCGCGGCTGCCAGGCCGAGTTCCCGAGTTCCCTTCCGCAGGCCGCTTGGCGACGACCAACTTTCACACTTGCGGCGTGTTTAAATGGGGACCCAGAAACACCAGGCCGTCTCTTAAAGATCCTCAAGCAGCTTGTAAACTGCTTTTTATGCTGATAATAACCATACGTAGTCAAGTTCCACGGATGTTTCATTTTTCTTGAACCCTTTTAATTTGCTCTTTGGTTTTATAAAAGTAGAATGAATTAATCAAGGGAAACTTTAAAACATAACCTGAAAAGGAGGGTGTGTTGATTTTTCAGACAAAACCAAGCTGAAGCTGGTGGCAAGTTGTGTGAACTTTAAAATAGTTGATTAAGCTTCCTGGCCGTAATTTTAAAATCTGAGTAATAAAACTAGGATCCTTGCTTCATAGAGAATGAAGTGGGATTATTAATAAATTGCCCAACTCTGAGGACTTAGGGGAACTGATCAAAATTATATACATACTTCATAAAAGCCCTGAACACTTAGAAAAGACAGCTCTGGCATGGGTCTGTGCTAGATGGATTTCCAGGACTGACCAGGGCTGAGAGGCAAAGGGGACACATGCAGCCATCCCCAAGCCAGATCCAACCTCAACTGATAACCGCTCACAAATGAAAACTTGGTTTTCTTCATCGGAGTCTCACTGGGGAAACAAAGCATTCTTAAAGCCACATGCCCAGCCGTAGATGGCCAGCATACACCAACTCAGTGACTTTGGGAGGTTCTTTGTCTCATAAAGCTTTGTCAGGGTTTTTTTTTTTTTTTCTTTTTAACCTTACATATGTGTGTCACACACACACGTATATATATCTAGATATATCTAGATAGATATCTATGTATATAGTGGTTTATGGGATTTCTGCATGTGTGAATGTATCTGTTCATTTGGGGGTTTTTTGTTTTGTTTTGTTTTTTTGGTGTGTGTGTTCTTTGGCTCTTTCTCTTGCGTTTATTTGTTTTATCCTATTCTGGTTTGTTTGTTTTTATCTTACTAATATTTTTAGATGCCTGTTTGTTTTCTAACTAGAGAGAGAGTGGATTTATATGGGAGCAGAGGTGGGGAGGATCTGGAAGGAGTTGGGGAAGGGAAACCATAATCAGAATATATTGTATAGGAAAAAAAAAAAACCCTATGTTCAATAAACACACACAAACACCTCAGAAAGAAGAAAGAAAAAGAAAGAAAGGAAGGGAAGAAAGAGAGAGAAAGAAAGAAAGAGAAAAAGAAAGAAAAGGCACTGTAAAAAGCAGAAGCTACTGTAGAGGGCTGGCCCTGCCCTTCCTGGCCCCACCTCCCCCAGGACAGACTCAGCTGATCCTCTCTCACTTCCCCTAACACTGTTTCCACACTGAAAATGACAGCCACTTTCTCACTAACCCAAAGGCAGCCCTGAGAAACTACAACAAGGGCACACAGTTCAATTGTGGGGCATGAGGAGGGTTGTTCAGCAGTTCCTAAGCCAGTCCCCAAAGATGAGCAAAGAGAGAAGAGAAAATGAAGGTGGGTGTGATGGTGCACAGTCTACACAGCCCAGCCCAGCCCAGGCTACATCTCAACGAAAAAAAAAAAGGGGGAGGAGGGGGTTAAAAAGAAGGAAGGGGTTATCAAGAACTCTTGCTACAGCTAGAGAGAAGTTTCAGTGGTTAAGAGCATTGGCTGCTCTTCTTCCAGAGCAGAGCAGGCCTAGGAATAATTGCCAGCAAACAGAATGAAGGCAACACATACTTATGACACACAAACATACATGCTGATAAAAACACCAGTACTCATGAAAATAAAACCTGCTCTACTCCTCGTCTAAACATTCCCTGAAGTAAATGCTGGCATACACTGTGTGTGCATCTATTCTATACACATATATACATACATGTCTGGCATTGTACACTCATATGCACTTTATATTCAGCAGCTGTCACTCAGACATGTTTCATGACACCCAGTTATAGAGCTGGGATTTAAAACCTTAATGCTTGTAGAAAAAAATTGTTAAACATCTAAAATGTGTATTTCTTTAATTAGCTAAGTGAGTAGTTGGCTTTTTTGAAGGCTTTGTAATTCAGAATAACTGTCAGTGCCTGACTGGGGGGTGGAGGGCAGTGAAATCTGCTAGAGGATAATACATTTTTAGTTTCTTTTGCAATGAGACACATCCTTAAGTAGACTAAACCAAAACATTTATATTGTCGTGTAATGATGGGGTAGGCAACTTTGGATTCTATGTTGCAAAAAGCTTGTTTCCAGTATATCCTACCTCTCAATAGTTTCACAGATTTACTATTTATGAAAAAAAGTAAAAATTATGTCCAACAGAACTATCTGGGAACAAATAACATTAATTCAGATATATTTATACACACACACACACACACACACACACACAATAATGATTTTCATACTTAAAGAATGTTGTAGAAAACCCTCCAAGTCACATGTATGAAATCCTGGTGGGGTGGAGCTTCCACCGGCTCAAAGTCTTACAAAACTGTAAGAATGCTTTAACTGGATGTTTCAAGCTACTGTTCACCTGTTTCTGAAAATGGAAGAATGTACAAACACATAAAATAATGTAAAAAGTCAGTGTGGTGGATCTCAGCTCCCTGCTACTTACTAAGCCCTACAAAAAAATATCAGAGTTCCTATCCTCACTTTAGATGCATGTTGGACTGGGTCTTTTGCCTGCTTCAAATTTCCATTTATAAACTGGTTTGTTGGCAAAGACCTGTGATCTCCAGCAATTGGGAAGCAGGAGGTTCACAAGTTCAAGGATGGTCTTATCTATTTCCCAAAGGAAAAACTAACACAAGGTCACAGGCTTCTGATTTACTACTGTAATTTCTCTACAATATAAACAGATACCCATCTCTTACTTTGGATCAGTGTCAAGCTCACATATGCACATAGATGTCTACAAATCACCATGAAGGGTTAACGCCCTGTATTAGGGTTCTCTAGAGGAGCAGAATTGATATATTAGCGGGGGCTTTATTAGAGTGGCATATAGGCTATGGTCCAGCTTGCTCAACAGTGTCTGTTTCCTGATAGAAAGGCCAAGAATCCACTAGTTGTTAGTCCACAAGACTTTATCTTCACATGGCCTCCAATCCCAAAGGAGGGATTCCAACATACAACCTTTTTTATTTTGTGGATGAAAAAATACAGCCAGGCAGTGGTGGCCCACACTTTGAATCTCAGCACTAGGGAGATAGAGGCAGGCAGATCTCTGTGAGTTTCAGGACAGCCTGATCTATAGTGAAAGTTCCAGGACAGCCAGGGCTACATAAAGAGAAACATAGAAAAATAGAAAAAAATTAAGCCAGGAGACATTAATAGGCACACCACCTATGGTTACTAATGAATTCCAGTGTTCTAATCATCATCACTAACAGTTGATAGTATTGTGGAAAAGATAAACTATTCACAAAAATTGGGCTCTCTCAAGTTGGGACGGATATCAGCTTTTAACATGTTTATAAAACACTCCCAGGTAATGGTCGTCAATGAACACTGAAGTCTGAAAAGCAGAGCAGGTTAAGAGATACTATTAGAACAAAAATTATTTCCATTTATTATTAATTCCCTGGACCAGTGTTTCCTTGTGCTAGTTAGTTATATTGGTGAACTTTTAGGAGTGAAATTACTGAGTATAGCTTTAATCAAATTCCATTTGAAGAATTTTGAAAATATGTTTCCTTGTGTACTTTATATAGGCAATAAACATAATTAACCAGTTGATACTGAACTTATCTGTGTTAGGATTGAGGCTGCATCTGGGGAAAAAAAAGTGCAAAAAATCCCTGACTTCATACAACTTACATTTTAAAGGGGTAGATAGAATAAATTTATGTAATTATAGAGAAACTAGAGAATTGTGCACAGGAAGGTGAAAAATAAAGGAGGAGTGGGCAGGCAGGATTCTGTAGGCACACCAGCCCAGTATTCCGGGATTCTGCAGATAGGCCTGAGGGATACATGTGGGCTGCAGACTGCTCAGGATAATACTCATAAGGAAGGGAGCAACCAAGGGGTTTAGACAGCAGGCACACAGCAATAGCCATTAAAGAGAGTCAAGCAACATTTTCTAGGAATGGAGTCTTCTGTAGCTGAAGTAGTGAATGAGGAGAGCCTAGCAGCTGAGAAGTAACAAAGGGAGGGAGCGAATTATAAATACAAGGTTTGTACAGCCTTTAGATCTTACTGTGAGACAAGAATCGATTGAGATACTCTGGGATACGGCCTGATGAGCTAACGTGGTTGGAAGCAGGGCCACATTCACCCACTTGAGATGTCACATAGCACAGTAGCAGCAAACATCGCTCAGTGGGATCAGTGTGGAGGATGCAACCACCAGGTGACTGTCCTATTGCAATAGAGTAAGGAAGAAAAGTATGACTCC